AGTCGGGATGGTGTGTGGCATGGAATGGCACCCCAGAATGTAGAACAACGGGCACCAGTTGACCGCCTAGTCTCCACAGAGATCCTGTGCCGTACAGCCAGGGGAACTGACGGGGAGCACCCCCCTCCTGAACTGGAAGATGATCCCCTGCAAAGCTCAGCTTCTGAGCTTCCCATAGTCAGCTCAACACAGGGACAGAGGAACCCTCAGAGCAGCCTCTGGGAGATGGACAACCCACAAGAAAACCGGGGAAGCTTTCAGAAGTCACTGGACCAGATATTTGAGACCCTGGAGAACAAAAGCCCCAGCTCAGTGGAGGAACTCTTCTCAGACGTGGACAGCTCCTATTATGACCTAGACACGGTGCTAACAGGAATGATGAGTGGGACCAAACCCAGTCTCTGCAATGGCCTCGATAGCTTTGCTGCAGCTCCCCCACCTCCCAGCTCCACTTGCAAGTCTGATCTGGCTGAGCTGGACCATGTAGTAGAGATTCTGGTGGAGACCTGAGAGAAGGCCCCTGGTGGACCAAGGACAAGGTCACACACCCCATGGAGCTCTTATGTGCTGTGATCCAGAGATAGGCAAGCACTTGTCCCAAAGGGGGCCCTGCCTTTCTGACTATGAAAATACCCTGGGACAGATTTTCTCTGCGAGGCTGCAAAGACAGAGCAAGCCGTTGCCAGGAACTGAGCTCTTTTAAAACTTTGGGCCCTGGGTTCATTTTCCTGTTTGGGATCACTGTGGAGGATGGTGTGCCACGGTTGTGTCTAATGTATTTTAAATTAGGTAGACGAACTTTCTAAAATTTAAGTTTTATATGTTTTGGGCAATATTTTGTCTTAAGATATATTTTTTAAACTTTTTATACTTTAGATTTTTTTCAGCTATTTTCTTAAAATTATATTTTTTCTACAAACATCCTCTGCTGCTACATTAGAAACATAACCTAAGTAATTACAATTGGTGTGTGTCATTTTTAAGGTTTAAATAGAAAATATTTTTTGGTAATGAGTCTCTACACTCCCAAGGCAACAGTGTAAATGTAGCCGGCCAGGTGTTTACATGAGAGGCCCAATCATGGTCTGCATTCTAGCAGAGTGTCTGAAATGAGAACCGTGCACAGCTCCAGTGCCTCCTCACTGGGTCAGCTCTGCAGGTGGTGTCTTCCTGTCAGCGGTAGGGTGGTTCTATTTATGCCTATTTATATGTAAATGCCACTGAAGGCTAAGGTCAGGTGTCTAGAAATTACACAGTTAGTTCTGTCTCAGGCAGTGCCTTATGTAGTCTTGTCCTTGGCCATTACTGCCTGGCTCCCAGGCACTAATGTGTGACAGAAGGGCATGACCTTAACACCTCATGTTCCATGTCAAGTGTGTGTACATGGAGGCTGCTGGGTACCAAGCATGCGTGTGCTTGGGAAGGGTGTGTGTCCTCACCCATGTCCTCAGTAGGGAACATCCATGCTTGCTTGCTTTTAAAATGGTGCTCAAACATTTTAAGGTTCAAAACAATCTGACTCCATCTAATTTTAGGGCCCCTTAATCCTGGGGTGGCCCCTACGTTGTCTGCTTGGATCTCAAGGTTCTGCTACCTGATCACATGTCAGACTCTTCCTCCCTCCATGCATGTTTTTTCTGTTTCTCATTTGCTTTTTTTGGACTTCCCCACCTGAGCCTAAGGTTTTATTTTTTTTCTGTGTTTGTATGACTATTCTTTAATATCATCAATGTAAACCTCACTTTATTAAAAATATCCAGCAAATGGAATGTGTTATGAAATTTTTTCTATCCTAATCCTTCAACTGAGATTGCTTTCGGTGGTCTCAGCATTTTATATGCTTTCTATTAAAGGCACATAACTTCTTTTTGTGCTAAATAGGCAATAGGTTTGTTTTCTTAACCTCATGACTCCCAAGGGAAAGCTCTCCCTTACCTTTCAGCTCCTGCTGCCTTCCCTGGGTCTAAGGGCTCTAGGTAATCTGTAGGAACAGCCAAGCCCCAGTCTGTGACAGTGATCTTACGTGTGCCTTCTTATAAAAGCTAGTTTAAAGGGTGTGCTTTACTAAATAAATCTAAGGCAGAATTTCTCTTTTACATTTTATTTATGTGGAGGGATATATTTGTCACAGTGCCCATGTGGAGGTCAGAAGACAATTTCTCAAAATCAGTTTTCCCTGTGGGCCCAGGGATGGAACGCAGGTCCACAGAAAGCTGAGCTGCCCTGCCAGTCCCTATAACAGGAATTGCTTGTTTAAAGCATTTCTGTTCCTCCTAGTAGCTACTTTGCAGCCTTAAAAAGCTAGATCTTTGGCTGGGCGGAGGTAGCACATGTCTTTAATCCTTGTACTCTGGAGGCAGAGACATGCATGAATTCAAGACCAGCCTGATCTACAGCGCAAGTCCCAGGACAGGCTCCAAAACTACAGAAGAACCATGTCTTGAAAAAACCAAAAAACGAGAAAAGAAAAGATCTTTGGAAACTGAGCTGTGTGTCAGCCTTGAGATGCTTGTGTTTAGAAAGCTGCTGGGAGACCTGAGACTGAGTGAGCAGCCTAACCAAGGCTTTTCACCCTGCTGCATTCTGTGTTTCTGCCTGGATGGCAGTGAGCCCCAAAATAGAATTGCTGGGATTTCCTAGGTACCATTGGGTTTAATCGTGCACATGTGACATTTTTAGATTAGATATGAATTTGATGACTGCTTGGAAGCAGATTTTCCGTGTGTTTATAAATACATAACTAGGGATGCAGTGTTAAAATCTCAGCACTTGAGGATTGCCAAAAATTCAAGGCTAATCTAGGTAGTTTCAGGCCAGGCCTGTGGTAGGGATCACTGGCCATTATGCCTCTGGAGTAACCATTTACCAAATGGCAGGCCAAGGATGTAGTGCTCCTGGCAGCCTTCGCCCATAGCTGCTTTCTGTGCAGAGAGTGGACAGGAGGCACTCAGGTCAGAGCTGTCCGGGTTTTTCATCGGACTACATGTACCTCATCTTTATTTGGTAAGTATCTCAAATATGTACATGGACCGAACAACATTTCATCAGGCATAGGGTGGGGCCCTTGAGGCCCTATCCCTCTCTGAGGATCTATTCAGTTAAAGGTTGGGGAGGGAGTGTCATTTTCTTGAGTAGTGTGGCCACTGATACAGTGGTCCCCATTTTCCAAAAAATAAACATTCCCACAGTTGTGCAGCCTAATTAAGTCACATTAAAAAAAAAAAAAGACATGGAGGTAAGGAGATTTGGAAAGAAGGGTTCAGAGTGAGAAGGGATGAAATGACTTTGTGTAAATCCCAAATACATGAGCCGCATCCTCTGTCCTTCGGTTCCCACCTGCAGTCCTCTAGACTAACTGTGTCTCTAGTCAGTGTGTTGCTGCTTTAGAAGTCAGAAGTTTGTGAAGGCGGCGGCTATGCACCTCTGGTGAAGTGAGCTAAAGATTGAGAACATTTGCCTGAGACACTGCCTTCCTACGTGCTCCATGTGTGTTGCCTCACTGCTGATCTCACCAGCAAAGTGCAGGACACAAACCAAGTGAGGTCTCTGCCACTGCTCAGCTGAAGCTCTGCCAGGGTCCCGCCACCTGAAGCAAAGCCACCAGGCAAGTAAGCCTCTGAGGAAGGGAGTGGAAATAAATGTCCTGGAGGGTGGGGAGGGGCAAGGAGCTTGCTGAGGACCTGTTCTCCTGAGCTGTTCAGGTGCTGCACTCAGTTCAGGCTTGGCTGTTCCAGGCAGCTGGACCCCTGGCTCTCAGCATTCATGTGTTCTGAGAGGCTCCTGACAGCTTCACGTCTCATGCAGCTGCTGGGGGCCCAAGAGCAGAGTGTTTCAGAGCACTTGTAGGATGCGGTGCCGTATATTGTTTGTCCATTCCTGCTTTAGTTGACAGAATTGCATTTAGCCATGTATGTTTTCAAATGTCTAGGATGGCTAAATGGAGCTGTGACCGAAGGCTACATCTGAGTAATAAGGATTCTAAGTCTTCAGTGATTTCTGAGAATATAATTCATTTCCCCCCAAGATAAGGTTTCTTTGCATAGCCCTTACTGTCCTGAAACTTGCTCTGTAGACCAGACTGGTTTCAAACTCAGATCCACCTCTCTGCCTTCCGGTGTTGGGATAAAGGCATATACCACCATTCCCCGCTTTGTGATTCATGGTTAAACTTGCCAGTGTTTACACTTTAGGGGTCTTGAATGTTGACCTGAGACTACCATGGCAGACACATCTCCATCAGGCCCTGCTAACTGCCGCTCAGACTCTAGGGATTTCACATTTTAAGACTCCACTGAAAGAGTCATCTGCTGGTCTCTGCACCTGGCTTATTCCACTCAACATAATGTCCTCCAGGCACATCCCTGTTGCTGCGGTTTCATCTTTTCCTGGATAGACGGTATTGTTCCTTTATCCACTCATCCTGGGTCAGGACAACCCAGATGACGCCACCTTGGACATTGTGAACCCCACTGCAGTGAACGTGATACAAACAGCTTTTCCACAGACAGCCCTTCCTTTGGGTATCTCCCCAAGCAGTGGCATTGCTGGATCACACGGCAGTTGTTTTAGTTTTGGGAGAGAATCTTTATACTGTTTCCCATAATAGTTGTTCTCATTTACATCTCTATGTCCTTGCCAGCTCATCTTCATCCTAACAGTGTGGTGGTGGCTCACGGCTTGACTGCACTTCTCTATGGTCGATGTTCATACACCTACTGGTCATTTCCACTCCTCCCCCAGGGAAAATAAAAACAATGAGTTATCCTTGTGTTACAACCCTCAAACTGTGTGTCACCTAGTGGTGGCTGAGTACAAGGGTCAGACATATCAGCACCTTTCTTCTTCCCTCCTGATGGGAACAGTTCCAATACTCCTGTCTATACTGGTCTCTGGTTCTGGACCACTTGGTCAGTTCAGTCAATAGGGAAGCTAGTGTCTCCTGAGCAGGTCAGTCCCACAGTAGCCTCTCCAAGAGCTAAGGAGTGAATAAGAACACAGTCTTACACAGTCTTCTTTTTAATAAAAGTTTACAAAATTCAGTGTTGCCTGCTTGTGTCTGCCCCTAGAAGAAAACAGTTGTCTCAGCAGGTGCTCACCCAGCTGTCCTCCTGGGACACTCAGTGTGTTCTCCCACCCACCCTTCCACTCAGAAGAGCTTGTCTCGAGGCTGCTGGGTGAGGGAGGGATCCAGCACAGGGATATGCATTAGCATCTCAGGGGAGCCAGGACCAGGGTGGGTTCCTGCAAGTGATCAGCAGCTGTCTCCTGCTTCCTGAACTCATGGGTCCTAGTATGATTCAGGCGGGGGTCACCAGGCTCCTGGTACCCATCTACAGTGTCCCCAGAAACTCTCTGGAGACTGGCTCGGCCCTAGGACATTCCCTCTGCACCCCATGAGATCTGAGTGCTTGAGGTATAGAGTAGGTTGACAGAGGACCTGGGAAACAGTGCCACAGAATAGTTCTCAGACTCTAGTACTAAAACCAGTGAGAATGTAAAATATTTCATAAAGGTACAAAGTACTCCTGCTTTTAGCAAACACTGTTATTAAAGAGTGCCACTTTTAGGTTACGTGGAGTAAAGACCTTTCTTGTGGAATGGTGATGTAGTGTCCACGTCCTTGTAGTGGTGTCTTCAGAAACAGGCTGTAGGTGATCAGCCTGCCCTGTCTGCTGCCAGACGTCCCTGAGAGCTGAGAGGGAAGTGGTGATCGGGCATTAGAGCTGACACCAGAGAAGCCTGAGTAGCTTCCACTCCGCACCCCCACCCCAGATTCTCTCCTTGGTTTCAATGTGCAGTGCATCCAGAGAACCATCCAGGCCGAGGGGACGAGGACAGTGGCTACGAGAGTCATCCCCTCCACCCCTGCACCATGCCAGACGGTGTCTTACAATTCTGTGACTGCCCTGCAGTCCAGAAGCAGCGTGGGTCTGTTCCTGCCTGTGTTCCTGGCCCTGGTGCTGGGTCTTGTCACCTAGGCCTTGGACTCCTGACTTCAGCATCCAGATTTCTACCTCAGAGCTGCTGCTGGGCGTCCTCCAAGTGCTATGGTGAGGGATGAATGTTCTAAATGTCTTGTTGCTCAAAAGGGAACTGCAGCACTCCTTCAGAGGTTTGTCCTTCCAAAAAGCTGAGGGACAGTCTTATGGGACCTCTGGCATCATGCCCTGTTAGTTTATAATAATTCCCTTTCCCGAGTGCCATAGAACCCATTGCCTGCCCCATATATCAACCAAGGCTGCAACCTAGCTGGGCAGCACCACACTGTGCCCTGATGCTTGGTTTCCCACAGAGCCACAGGGCTGTATTCTATCCCCCACCTCCTGCCACCTCTTCCCAACACTACAGTGCAGGTCTCTGTGGCACATACTCCAGTCACTGCCTAACTGATTGTCTCCTGGGCACACATTAAGAGCCCTTCCCGAAATGCCTAGTTAAAGAGGAGCACAAGATCCAGGCCCAGACATGCCTGTTTTCCCTCCCTGGTAAAAGAGAGGGGGTAGGAACAAGGCCCCTTTCCTGTCCACACCTCTCTTCCTGCTGGGCCTGCTGTGACTAATTGCTGGGTTGACTGCAGAAGGACCCTCAGCCTGAGAAGTGCTGCTCCCTGGACCTGTAGGCGCCGCTGCCAGCTTCTGACCCAACAGTTATGCCACCCCAGCTTCTTGACGCCCTTCCCGGTCCTTGGGTACTCTTGATGAACACTCAGAGGGATGGGGCTCCTGACTCTGCTCACCTTGGTCTGAATCAGGGCTTTGCAGTGGTGTAGGTGGAAGCTGCTGACTGCAAGCAGCTCTTCAGGCTTTCTGAGATCAGAACCTTCCAGAACATGACCCTGGTCTCCAGAAAGGCTCTACAGGGAAAAAACTTTTGTCACAACATTGCCATTTTCATTCTAAAATCACAGTAATCTTAATTCTGGATGCCTTGGGTCCCCCAAGGGTCAGGCCCACGGCCTCCCTTCCTTGCCTGCCACCTGCTGAGCATCACCTGGTTCACGAGCCTCCAGAACTGGGGTGCTCCTCAATCTTCCAGCTGTGCCTTGAATATATCTCTAACGTGTAGGTGTTACAAACTGAATTTCAAAGTCCATATGTTAACTGCATTTGGAGGGAAACTTGGGGAGATGATTAGGATTCGAGGAGGTTATCAGAATGCTGCCTCCATGGTGGCATTAGTGGCATTATGAGCAGAGACTAGAGCTGGCATGCTTGCTGTGTCTCACCTCACAGGATGCTGAAGCCGGTACCAGCGCCATGTTTTTGTACTTCCCGTGAATATGTAAATATTCACCTGGTCTTAGGTGCTCTGTTACAGATAGCCACCTCCAGGAGGTCCCCTTTGCCCTGCCATTGCCTGGAGTTGTCCCCTGGAGCCCGATACCCAGGAATCCTATTTCCTAGCCTTCAGGTTCAATTTTTCCTGCATCGTAAGGCCAGGCTGACCTATGTGGGATGTGGGTGGGCAGGGACTTTGGGAGGGTGCTCTTCCTCCCAGTTCCTCACCCATTTCCTGACCAGCCTGGTGACCTTGGGCTGATAAAGTAAGCAGCCCACATCGTGGCCCTCACCAGGGTCAAGCTGCCTTCCTTCTTGATCTCTTTACTTAAAGCTTTGAGTAATATTTAAGAGTGAAAAGGCCTTTTCCACCTCACTCTGAGGTGTGACATCTCGGGAAACTCAGGAGGTTGATCTGTGTACACCGATGCTTCACTGGGTGTTGCCTAGTGCTGTTCTCCAGCCACCGCCCGAGCCTTTTTCTCCTGCTGCTCTGCCCTGGACTTAGCTGGCTCCCCCCTCAGACTTTCTTCTTGGGACCACCATGTGTTTAGACCTCTGCCTAAGGCACCTCTCAGGTATGCACCAAGTCAACCCACTACATTGCTGATCCCAAACATGCCACATATTTATGCAGAACTTGCCCTCGTTCCCAACTCTTCCTGTGTGCTGCTATAGCCCTGGCCTACGTGCATCACCCCCTGGCAGGCACCTGGCTCCTGCCCATCCTTCTTCACCTGCTTCTGTTCCCGTTAGCAGCTCCCAAGAAGCCTACCACCAACAGGGTAGCACTGCACAGCGTTCTGCTATGGCACAGCATCACCTCCTCCCCCACTCACCCCGACCCACATACACCTTGTCTCCTCATGCCTGCTGGAGTCACGCGCACGTATCTAAGGGCAGCATGCTACCCGAGAGACAGGACACCCTACCCCGCTGCCCTCTCCAACTCTGCCCTGTTCCAGTCCCGTTCTGAGAAGTACACCAAGGTTTTGTGGAAGATGGTCTTCCCAGTGCTGACAGCAGGTAAGTCTGCGTTCAACCCATGCTGTTCCTGGTCAGTGGTCTCCAAAGTGTGCCAGGCCAGTGTGACTGGCCACAGCACAGTCTCCACTTCCCCTGGATATGAAGACATCCCCTGGGGCTGGTTGCTGGTGATAGCTTTTTGGAAGTGATTGGATCCTGAGGGCTTCATGCATGTACTAATTCGCCAAATGGGTGCATAATCCCATAGCATTACTGTGATGAGATAGACATTCTAGGGGTAAGGCCTGGTTGGATGAAGTGGGTCATGGGAGACGCGTCCTTGAGGCTATGTCTTGCCTCTGTCCCTGCCTACCCACTATGACAGTTTTCTTTTGAGACACCCTTCATCTCACCACAGGCCCAGAGACACAGAAGTAGCTAGAATTTGGACTAAAATAAATCTTTTTTCTCAGGTATTATGCCTGACTTCCGCGCTCCCCAAGCCGTCTTACCTTCTGAGCAGCATCTACACCAAGGACAGGAAGGAGCTTTTCCCGACAGTGAGATTCGCTCCAGAGACGCAGTGTAGTGGACACAGTGTCAGTGTTCTGAAGGGCTCTCCAGAGTTTCCTAGATTCAGAACTGGGAGAAAGATGCAGTCACAACAGGAGACCTGAAAGGCTTCCCAGCAGCAACTGAAGCTCAGCCCCACAGCACATGGCACATGGCCCCCCATGAGGACTCAGGATGGGGCTCTCCTCTCTCGTAAACCCAAATATTCACTATCAACTTGCCCTCCCTCGTATCTGTCCACATGTCCCCTATCTACGCATCTTCTTGGAGAAGCCCTGAGGCCAGATGTACTGGTGTTATCTGCTCAAGTGTCTATAGCCCTCCTGGTCACAGAACAGATGCACACATACAGGGTGCATACTCTGGAGAATCAGTGGAGAAATCCACAGGGAATGTTGACTGTGGCCATGTTAGTGCTGTGTGCCATGTGTGCTGAGCCCTGAGGATTAAAATGGCACCTAAGAGCTGCAAGGCCGTACAGGATGTGCCAATGCTGGGCCATCTTTTCCAAACCCTCACGTGTTTCTGAACACAGTGTTCTACCCTCAAGCAATACCAGTCCTCCTGTCCCAGCATGCCTAGCCTTGCCAAACCTGACACCTGGGCCTCTGAAGGACTTGGCCGTGGCCTGCTGGGCTGTCCTGAGGCAGGCGTTCCTGGTAGGCTAGGCTCTGCAGGAGCACCAGGCTGCAAGGCACTGCTGGTCATAGCCCCTGGGCTCCAGGCCTAAATCCCCAAGCTCTTGTGGAGGGCCTTTTGGGCAGGTTCTGGGTTGGCCCACATGGTACTCATGATGACTACCATGAGTCATCATGGTAGAGTCCAGAGTCTGCAGAGCTCTGACCATGCTCAGGCATGCTGAGGCATATAGAAACCCTAAAGCACACAGCTAGCTTCCCCTGAGCCCTGGGTGACAGAGCCTGCTCACCCTACCTTCTCCTCAATTAGCGTCTCTTTGGTATCTCGGCCCCTTACCAATGTTACTGCTGGCTGAGAGCACATCCCTACCAAATGGCCAGCCAGACACTACTATGTGTGATTTTCTCTAAAAACACACACAAGGTAACCCTGAAGGTCTGTGGCTGCTCTTGGGGTGCTTCCTATAACTGGCTGAGGGTCGTAAGGTGTCAGGTCCCACTGAGCCAAGTCCCTAGCAATAGCCCTACCATTGGAAGGACACTACTGGAGCATCCATCTGTGCTGCTGGTCCCTCTGGAACGCTGTGGCACATAGGTGCCTACAGGGACTCTGTAATCCCCAGGAACAATCGTTTTAGCTATGTGAAACCACTTTAGCAAACAGAAATGAAGTCTGTTTTGCCAACCCCTGGTTCCAGTCTAAGTTCCATTACCACAGTCTAGGCACAGATGCAAGGCCACCATTTTCTTCACTGCTGATTTCTAAGAAATGGTCTAGAGAACAAATGTCTTCAGTTGTCCGTTCCACTGGGACTTCTTGAAACGCAAACCTAAAAACCTTCTCATAGCTGAGGATGGACTGCAAAGAAAGAAGATCCCAACGTTAGGAGCAATGTATACATTAGGTAACTTTATTCCAAATAATTTTCTTTAACATAAGTGCATTTTGTCCCTGGTTGCATGCTCAGTTGGGTGTTGCCATGACTGATTTTCCTCAGAATCTCCAGGCTGCTTAAAAAAAAAAAAATACAGTGGGCTTGCAGGAAATGAGCGCACAGTTAAGCTCTGTCAGGACACGTGGAGAAGGGGAGAAGGTGGACTTCAGCACTGTCCCTGTCTCCATGTCCCTTCACCTTACACGGACTCTGAGTTAGCCAGGGCGACGTGGGTAGGGTCTAGCAGACCCTAGCTGGGTGCTAGCAGAGAGGGGGCGTTCTGCAGGTCCGCGGGCTGCAGCACGACTGGGTGCACAGTCCTACACTCACCCAGTGTTTTATGCAAAGCCCCCATCCCGTGCAAATGCTTCCCAACACTGCAAACATGGTGGAGAACAAACTTGGAGGTGCAGCTGACTGCCTCACAGCGGCCCTCGTGGGAGGCGCGAGGAGACAGGTCTCATCAGCAGTCTACCCAGTTTGGGGCCAGGATGGCTGACAGGCGGGGCTCAGAGGCAGTCAAGGGAGCAAAGGTGTGGTCAGTTCTGAGGGCTGAGTAGGACCCTTGTCTTGGCATGACCTGGTTCAGTACTCAAAACTGAACTGTGATATCTGAGTTTCAGATCTGAGGCTTTCTAAACCTGAAATTCGGGATCCCCATGTGCCCTGAACAGGACCGTACGAGTGCAGCTTCAGACCTCAGGAGAAGAGTTCAGAGGAAGCTGCCCAGCTTGGGCCCCCACCATGCCTTGTTCAGATCCATTTCTTCGGAGTGCCCCGGTCAAGTCCTCCATTCCTTGTCCTCCTCTTAAGAAGAGGACAGCCAACCACACAGCGAAAGACAAACCAGCAAGGGGACTCAAAGGCTGGCGAGACCCCCAGCACCCCGCAGTGCTCAGAAGCCTGGGCAAAGTCTAATGGCTATACAAAATACCTCCCACTCGACCACAGAAATACCTCAGAAGATGGGTCAGCAGCAGTTCCTGTCACCCAGGGTCCACCTCGCTGCATCTGGTAAGAACCATGCTCTTTTGGGATTGAAGGGGTTTTCAGCGACTGGTGTTCTGCGGCTCTCCCTAGGAGTTCAAAGGACTGAGCAAACTGCTCAGACTTAGCTGAAGACTCCCTGAAGCCTTCGAACTCTCCCCACCCGCCGCTGAGCTCCCCTGGGTGCAGACAGCTGAGTGTGCAGGTGGGAAGACCCTCTTCCAGCCTGAAGCCGCTAGCTTTGGCGTCAAGCAGAGTCAGGGGACCATCGCAACAGAGTCTCCTCCGTTCCAAATCGTCACCACTCTGTTCTCCAGCTGTTTGGTGGAGGGACCCCTCTCCAGGGTCCTGTACGAGGTCACTCGCTGATTCTCTCCTCACCTCCTGCCCGCCTTGCATCTTGGTATGGCCAGGCCAGCCGACCCGAAGGAAAGCTGCTCAGAAGACATGCAGCTGCTGAGCTGGAGTTGCCCAGGGCTTCCTGGGAGTGTTCACGTGCCTCTGTGGAGTCGACCCCTCCTGGCACTCGTGGGTGGTCAGTCCTGCACGGGGGCGTGTCCTAGGCCCAAACAAGTAGAGGCGAAGGAAGGCCTGTGGGTAGACGTGCGTCCTAGTGGACGGGCCGCAGAACTGGGTCTGCGAGGACGCTGGCTGAGGGAACGGAGCTCGGGGATCTCGTCCCAGGCGGGAGTCCGGGACCGGGTCCGAGGTCCGGGAGAAGGGGATCCTGGGCTCCCAGAGGCCCGCAAGGCGCACACCCACCTTCGCCACCGTGACGCGCCTCCCGGCGCCCGGCCGGGAGATACCCACAGCCTGCTCAGCCCGCAGCCTGTGCCGCGCGTTGCCCGGCAACGGTGCGCGCCCGCAGGCTTCCGGCGTGCTTCGCGTGGCGTCAGCACGCCACCGCGCAGCGTGGCTCACAGCTCCGCCGCCCATGTCCCGCCCTCTCTGGTCCCTTGCGGGGCGTAACTTGTCGAGTCGATACTTGCAGAGTGGAGGATATATAGCTAGTGGGACCTAGCCTGCTATCCGGGCTGGCTTTCCTGCCTCCTCTGCCCTGCAAATGAGGAGTTCTCGTTTCGTATGGCGCCGGTGCCTGTGTGTGCGATGTGTACCCTGCAGTCGCACACCTGACCCGGGAGTAAAGCCACTGTCATGGTGCTGGCCCCTCGGCCTACACCCTCCCACCCTACCTGGCCCTGGTTCCTGCGCTCCTGTTGAATGGGTTCTCCAGAATGGTGGTCACATGGGTACAATGGAAAAAGTCTGTTTCGCTGACTTGACCCAATCCTAGACCACTCTCCCTTAAATGAGGATGAGGGTCTACTGCGTGCAGAACAGGAGAGTCACTGACTTCCTTCATGTGCTCATAGTCTGAGCCTGGTCACCAACCAGTCCTAAGGCAGAGCAGGGCCAGTCTTGGTCATGGACAATCTCACAGCCTCCTGCATCCGACTGTGTGGGTAAGGGCCCTGATGAACTAACCTTGCCCCTCTCTCTCAGCCCCCAGACACAGAAATCCCTGGCCCTTTCCCATCTGTCCCCATTCTGAGGTTCATGAAGTCGGCCTGTAGCGTGTCACATCTCTACCCTAGTAATCCTGGACTAGCAGCCATTACCAACCTTCCCTAGGAAGCAGGTGGGTCAGGACTGCATCTAAACCCAACTCTGGTCCCCCTCCTCCATCCACAGATTTCCCCCTCCCCTGGGCTTCCCTGGGCCCTGCCCTTGCATGGATTACTCAGTCCTTCATCCCCAGCCTCCTCAGAAGAACTATTGGAAAATTTGATTTAAAAGTGACAAGATGAGATCATTCTCTGCATCTTGGACCACAGCCTTCCCCATTCCCTTGGGCAGATCAGCCTGGCACTGTTCTCTAAGTCCTGCAGGCAGAGAGCTCTGGACTAGCCATTCCCTCTCAGAGTGGCCCAGTAGGGTGGTGTCAGTCAGACCGTGTCTGTGTGTACAGACGCTGGCTTCTCTTCACCTCATTGTGACCCAGCAGGTCCTCAGTCCGTTCGTGCTGCTCCAGTTCCCCTCACCACTGCCCTTGCTGTCCTTGAGGTCCAGGGAGCTGGAATGAGATCTGGGCTCAAAGTGGGAGAAGGAGACTGGAAAAAGGAGTGGAGCTGGGGCAATCCTCCTGCCCCAGCATCTCCCAAGTCTATCTAGGTCCCAGCTTTGTCAGGTAGGAGGAACGACTTCAGAAGACACAAGGTTCTAGTTCTTGAGTCACAGATACATGTTGGGGTGACCTGTGTGGCCACTGAGTCAGCTGGATGATGCCCCCCAAAGATGTCCACATTCTAATCTTAAGAAGCCACGGATATGAAACCTTCTAAAATGAATGGGTGTACAGAATAAGATTAAATGGGGATCTGGAGATGTGGAGATAGTCCCGAGTCAGGTAGCTGTCATACCAGCTCTGAGAAAGCTGAGAGAAGAGGATCAAAAGTTAGAAGCAAGCCTAAGCTACATAGCGAATTTGAGACTAGCCTAGGTTAAATGGCGAGACTCTAGCTAGCAGGAGGGAGGAAGCAAGAGGGGCTAGAGAGAGGTAGGCATGTGAAAGCACACGTTGGACATTGGGAGTGCAGCTGTTTAAGGCCCCCCTCTAAGAAACAGCCCTGAAAACGCCCAGGATAGGCAAAGCAAGTGTATGTCATTTTAGCCCATCCATTAGTGATATTTCTGCAGCAAACACAGTGAACCAACAGACCTGGGGGACCCTGGGGATCCCACTAAAGACGTGCTGCCTTGAGGAAGGGGCATAGTACAGACTGAAGGAGGTCAGACCGTCCAGGTAGGTGGGCAAGGGAGGCAGAAGCTCTACTTGGTTAGTTTTGGGCAGATTGGGCTGGAGGGTAGGGGGGGCCCTCGAGTTAAGGTATAAGAGGATGGGCTGTGAGTCCCAGTGGCTCTGAAAGGGCAGAGCCAGTGTGCCCTGGGAAAGAGCCTGAAGAACCCCTCATCCTCCCACTCCTTCCTCCTCCTCTAGCCCCTGCTTCTGCCTGGGGTGATGCTGCTTTGCCGGAGATTACAGTCAGCCCGGTGCCTCCCGTGGTCACCTACAGTAAGGACTGGTTGAGTAGATTGTCACAGAAACCACTGGTGTCTTCAGTGAGGTGGGAGCGTCACATCCCTGCTTCTGAGCCTGTGGTTTGTATAGTCCAGAGCTTCCCCAAGTCCCAGGTCAGCTCGCCTGGTTCACTGCGATAGGGGCAGCAGAACACCCCAATATGCCCCACCATCTCCCTACTTCCTAATCCCAGCCATGTGCTGAGCTACATGGATGCAGGGGTTGGGAGGACCTGGGGACCATGCCCAGACCTGACAAGTCCTCAGCATTGAGGAAGATGAAGTAGAGCCTCTGTGGTCAGGAAAATAGAGGGCTGTGGACAAGGGGCTCCCACCTGCAGGCTTGGAACTTTCTCCATTGCCTGAGGAAAGAATCACACAAAGGACTGAGATGAGTAGGGTGGCTGTAGGGAGAGCGGTCACAGACGCCACCACCTTCTGCATGCCTGTGGGCTGGGGCGGGGCCGGGCCATGATGATAGCAAAACTATTTTTGCCATGTTGCTGCGGCTGCTGCAGGATACATCAATCATTGATGATTTGGGCATTATGGCCAGCCTTCCTGGAGAGGCATTGGAGCTCTGGGTCAGGCAGGTGGGGAGGGGCAGAGAGTGACATAGCCATGATCATTTCGGGTCCGATCCTTTCTGTTCCTCCAGACCCTGGGAGCCAGCTGCACAGCACCCCTGAGTTGGCGGTTAGAGGAGGTGTGAAGCCTTTGTGTGCTGGATGTGGTTGTGGGTCGGGGCATCTCTCCACGTGCTGGAGAGGGGTTCTTAATTCCTGAGCCAGACCTTGATGTAGGAGCCTTCCCAACAGGGCATCTGTACCCAGGGGAGGATGTGGGGAGGAGGCTGGAGCTGGAGCGTGGTGACGGGAACTCCTGGCAGTGCATTGCTCTGCAGCAGAAGATGGCCAGGCTTCAGCCTGGGGGAAGGGACAGTCCATGGAGCTTAGCAGCTCCCCTACCACATACACTCTTCTCGCCTGCTCCTCTTCGCTGTGATCCCAGGCCTAGGGTTAGGCTTCAGAATACTACTAGTGATGGAAGGGTCTAGCTGGGCCCTGGGGAGACAAGCCTGGTTTGTGACTGGTCCACCCACACAGGTGCAGCCTGGCTTCCGTAGCAGGGTCTTCCAAAGGCAATGAACCACAACCGAGCAGGTGGCACCTGCATTCTGTTGTACATATCTGTGCACACAAACCCGAGTGTATGCACAGGAGTATGTGTGTGTGTCTGTGTGTCCTGGAACAAATCCAAGGTGGTTTGTGGTGTGTATGTTGGTGTGGGTGTATGGTCTTGCTTTTCTGTCTGTGGCTCTTCCCTGGAGTGGGAAAGCTCTCCAGGCGGATACCCCAAGGAGTCTGTCCCTCAGAGTGTCTAGTCTGGCCTCTAACCTCAGGGGGAATCTTCCAGGAGATGGCAGCTGGACCCCCCATGTTAGGCCCTCACCTTGCCTTGCCAGCCATGCTGCAGCTCCAGTGCTAGTCTCCAAGCAACATGAACCCACCTACCAGCCCTGGTAGGTCAGAGTAGGCAAGAGAAGGAAGGGAGGACCCTTGGCTTCCTACCCTGCATCCTTTCGGGGCCTAAGCCAACCCTGAAGCAGTGAGTATGGCAATGAGCAGCCTTGCCTTTTCTCAAGTCCTAACAGAGCAGACACAGACACACTGGCCATGCTTGGCCGGTTCATGCATGGTCACCTTCTCACTGGGTCAAGGGTATACAGGCCCAGTGGAGGACCCTCAAGAGGGTCTCTGGTGTCTCAAGGAAGCCCTCATGACAAAGTACAACTCTTCTAAATATGTTGCCCCATATTGACAGTGGTAAATGGGAGAGTGCTGGCACACTAGGTACCCCTTACCTAGTACCATGCCCCTAACATGACAGCCTTAGGCCTGTCTGTAGTGATATTTTTAAAAAATAGTGTTTCATTTCTCATAATTTGCACAGAATGAACACTATAGTCAGTGAGATATATATTTGTAATAATTATACCATATGTATTTTTTAAAGATTTATTTATTATGTATACAACATTCCTTCCATGTATGCTTGCATGCCAGAAGAGGGCACCAGATCTCATTATAGATGGCTGTGAGCCACCATGTGGTTGCTGGGAATTGAACTCAGGACCTCTGCAAGAGCAGTCAGTGCTCTTAACCTCTGAGCCATCTCTCCAGCCCCTGTAGTGATATTTTGCTTGTAATCTAACAAATAAAGCTTGCCCGCAGATCAGAGTGCAGAGCTGAGCCACTAGTTAGCCATAGAGACCAGGCAGTGATGGCACACACCTTTAATCCCAGCACTTGGAAGACAGGGGCAGATGGATCTCTGTGAGTTCAAGACCACCCTGGGCTACAGGAGATTGAATCTGTCTAAAAGAGAAACAGAGCTCGCACAAAGGTGATTCCAGCACTTGAGATCACATGCCTTTAATCCCAGCACTAGGGAAGTGGAGACAGAAGTTATAGAGCTGGGTGGAGAGAGGACTATAAGGCAGGAGGAGACAGCAGTTCAGATGCAGTCTGAGGATTCATAGAGACAGACACAGTCTGAGGCTTTGTAGAGATAGGACCACCCCTTTGGTCTGAGCATTGGTAGAGTAAGAACTCTCCAGTGGCTGGCTGCTCTGCTTCTCTGATCTTTCAGCATTAACCCCTATATCTGACTCCAGGTTTTTATTAAGAACAATTAGAATTCGTGTTACACCTGTCCTGTTTGCACTTGGGTAGCCTGGATAACGTTCATTTTCCTGAAAGGCTGATGGGTGCCACAGCA